TTTGAAATTATTTTTTTGCAATATACAGAATTCACCGATCTCAAACTTCATAAAGTTAATTGTAAAGCACCATTCTTTAGATTTTAAGCACTTTTGTTGCTTCAAATGAACATAAGACATACATGGCATATGGTGGACCGTACATGCACCTTTTTGAGAGTATTTCAGGTATTTCACCCTCGTGAAGAAATTTCTAAAACCTTCACAAACTCTATTCTGTTATCACAGGTGGCCCAGTTTTGTGACGTTGACGTCAAGAAAATAGAAAAGGGTGTCTACATATATGAAGAGAGCGAGGTATATGTTCTGGCTGGTTGTGCTCAATTCGTAGTTGAACAAAATGGAAAGTAACAATTAGTATGCCAGTGTTTTGAACGAAGTTGTCACAAATATGGACATTTCAAATACAAATTCAAACTACGTGTACATGTATACATGATTCAAAACGAGTTACAGGGTGAATGTTCATACTTTTCAGTGAATGGTTTTAAGAAGTGGTAGTAACAACATAAGAAAATTCTGTTCTCCATTACTGCCATGCTTCAGTGTTACATCTATGGCTTAAAGTTAATTGAAACTAAATATAGTTCTGCATTTTTGCAGGGGTGTCTTTCCTTCAGCAGTCAATATAATCTTTATTTTTTGCCAACCAGGCCATTCCCAAGCCACGAGTTCCCATCATTCATTTTAGCAAAGCCAGGCCACCTATCATCATCTGTGTCAAAATGGTACGTATGTTAGTCTCCAAGAGTGCCTGCAGGAGAAGGTTTCATTGTCATCTGGAAATTGTATTTCTTCTTCTCACAGTTGTTACTGGGAATCATGCATAATGGTGAAAATACGGAGAGGGGAAAACCATGTTCCCATCAGTGAAAGCCATTGCTTCCCCAAGGGATCATATTGAATTCTTGAAATGAACACAAAGCTATACATGCAACCCAGTGCCCCTTGGAAAGATTTGTACACCCCCTTGCCCTCCCATATATTTCAGCCAGGTACACTGCTGCAAGCATAAAAACTTAAATATTTTATTCCACTGGTATTGACCATCTCTGTGCATGGTCACCATTCCCAGCTAAAGCAAATCGAGGGTACCTTTAAGAGCATTTTCTTAGCAGACAAACTGAAAGCCTTGCATTGTAAGCCCAGTTATTCATTAAAGAGGATGCCGGGGGGGTTATAATATAGCCTCCCAGGCATGCTTTTGCAATGTCTCCGTGGGGGTAGCATTGCTGTTGAGATGTAAGATCTGTCTAAAATCAGACCAAAAGAATTTATGAATTGTAATTTTGCGCGGAAAAAAATCTGTTGAGAGAAGCTAACACAAAATCATGTCTAGCTTATTTTTTGACGTTTGCCGCCGGCAACTCTGTGGCAGGTACTACATATATACATGTATGTTCTGTTTTGAATTCATCCTGTGTATATCGAGTTTGAGTTTGCTATGGCCAAGATGAGCATGTTCATTTTTCATCAGGAGGATGAGGAGATCCGTATACATGTATGTAGGTTACATTCAAATAAAAACGAGGTATGTAGGTTACATTCAAATAAAAACGAGACTTAAGCTGTTTTTAAACCTTAAAATTTGCATTCAGTATGTCTTTATTCTGTACTGTGCTTTGACAATCAGGACCTTACAGGTGGTAGTTTTGAGAGCAACCTAGCTTCTCTACATCTCATCGAAGGAAAAGACTATGTCTTCTTCAGCTGACTCCAAGATACTTAACGATGAGCTGTGCTCAAGCAAGTCAGCTGCAGTACGTGTTCACGTATTTGTATTTTTATTCTTTAGTTTTTAAATTAAAATTTTTAAAACGTGTGTAAGTATGTTTTAAAGATTCATAATGTGCATGTCTCGGGATTTTTATTTTTTCATTCCAAATTGCTCAAACGGAAGTTTAATTTCGTCAAAGAGGGGTCACACGCCCTAAATATTGATTTCAATTTCGACATAATACCGCTAGATTTCACTCTCAGGGCATTGTAAATCACGAAAACAAACCACACTTATTCGTCCTATTTATCATCATTTTCGTCTCACTCCCGGAATGGCGTTGAACCAGAAAAGTAAAAACAATTTTGTCATCCATTTTACCGATTTAATCATTTGATGTCATACAGTGTGTTGTTTGGTTTGATGATTTGAATTAGCAGTTATTTGGACATCGTTTTTGTTGTGATTCAAGATCGACTAAGAAAAAAGTTGGCCGAAGAAATCAGGCATAATAACTCACTATTATGTGACTTTCTCTTGTTAATTGGATTAAGGCCAGTGCTTCGTATACAAGTTTATATCATTGACAAAATTGAATGATTACATCAGTGAAATGAATGACAAAACACGAATTTGCTTTCCCAATTCAACGCCATTCCAGGAGTGAGACAAAAATAACGATAAATAACCCTTAAAAGGCACACATCTGTAGACGCACGCCTTCGTTTTAAATGCTACTTTCCAGGTTGACATCGTTGGTGGTAATTAAGATAGTTTACATGTCTTTTTACATATCGTACCCTTGAATGCTTGTTGAGGTAAACCTTTTAACAACAGACAGAAATTGAAATTTAAAAAAAATCCCGAAATCTAAACATTGCCAAAGTACCTTTCAGTGCCAGATCTATTTTTTCCGTCCTTCGAATTGAAGTCAAGTTACCGCGATTTTCATTAAATAGCGGCTAAGAAATTAGAGCTTTGAAAATAGCATTTTGTTTTCTGTAGTTAGGTTGAATTTGCATTCATTTGGCAGAAAATACGCGACTAGTAACAAAGTAAAGATTCTTGTCCATCTATCTATTTATCGAAGCAGATGTAATTGTTTTAAATGAACGTGTCACCTCTAATGGAAATAGCGTAGAACCAGCTGATTTTCCAAGGATCCAGGCCCTTATGGGCCACCTCTTCTTGCCAGGAAGAAAAGACCCTTAAGTCACACCAAAAGGAATTAATGTGGAGTGTTAACTCATCGAGGAGCACTAGGGTTAGTAATGAATACCGCTACTTTCATTATATTTAATTCCGCAATACATCATTATGCTGTACTTATGTATAAGCAGGATACAAATCTTGGTATTTATTTCTTTGTGCGATGTAGCTACTCAAAGCTTCCTTTTTGCTTTTCCCCTCCGGAAAATAATAACTTAAGACGCCGATGGCCAGGTCTTAAACCGGCGGTAGGCTCCAGGAGCAATTTGCATTATATCTGCCGGCAGACCGTAAGTTTGAGCAAACTGTTATAGCCTTTTTTTGCACATTTTTGTCATTTTGTTCACTGGATAGCAGTTACATTGTCCGTAGATCCTTACTTGTCTTGACAAGGCGTTATATGATAATTGCACATTGCATACTTGTAACATGAATGGTGTGCGTTTTTCTGTAATGTACAGAATGTAATGTAAATGAAGGTTTTAATCAACCTGAATTGATTATAATGCAATTATAATGGCCTCTTGTAACGATGGCGGGCGATCAAACGTCTGTTCTTTGAATATATTATGATAAGTGTTATTTAGGATGCACATTTCCTTACAATTTATTATGAATATTGCCGATGCCGAAAAGCGTGAAATACCTGACCCACTGCCACCATCAGCCACAACAGAACGTGCTTAGGTAAAACCTATCAATATGGATGTTGTAGAGGTACATGAACTTACAGTTCCATTCTCAGAATTACATTTTGGTTTTGTTTTATGACGTAATAAGAGAATATATTCAAGCTTATGAGGCGGGAAATCTAGATGAATTTGACGCCTCAATTAGCCAAAAAATAACTGACCTCTAATACTTAGGCTAAGAAATCAACATTTAAGATGAAGAGAAATAAAAGCTGAAGCAGCAGATAGACACATGACACTCTAATTTATCTTATACTTTTAATTCAAGCAGGTATGCTCCTTTAGTTACGGGTTTAAATAATGTCCCGATCATGCGCCTGTTGCATAAGAGAGAAACGCCCGGAGACTGTTTGCAAGGTGTAGATCGCGGGGGTGTAGTCATTCCACCAGGGTTTCATAACGTGGAGTGGTTTGATTTTATTTAAAACGCCATTCCGGGTTAAGTTTTAAAGTTCACTGAGACTCCAATTTATAGTTACAATTATGGTGACAGATGAAAATCTAAGATAGCGATTGGGCAAAGAAGTCGGTAAGTTATTGAATTTGCATAGAGGTAGACTCGTTCCAAACCTTATTTACAAACAAGCTCAAACAATGACCCAGCTTATTAGCACCTGGAACAGGATTACACGCCCAACAGCAATTTATAACTATCGTGGATCTTTGATTAACTCGGAGCCAAATTTACAACAGAGTATTAATCAGTTCCAAGATTCGCTGCAATATGCGAAAACGCCTCTTAATTTTGTAGTCGCGTCTGGTTTGTATCTCGTACCGTCAGATATGGACCTACGTATTGGTACATTTGAAGGATACAACAACAATTTACAAATCCCAACGAGCAGCATGAAAACGGGTTACCTTCCATCATTAAATTCTAATTCAAAACCTGGTACAGTAGCATCTGATGATTTTGCCGATCCAGAAGAAACAGAACCTGAACTAACTTCTACCCCTTGTATTAAGCCCTCACCAAAACCTATTTTACCCATTCAAGTAAAAGAACCAGAAGAAAAGAAACCGCTCGATATTCACAACGAAGAAAAACTATCTTTAACGGTGGGGACTACGGTCGCTGGACTTGGATTTATAGCTTATAAAGTGTTAACCAAAAAGTAAAAGGCATTTATTAAAAAAAAATCCCCGATCATTGTTAATCAATGATTGGGATAATTTTTTTAACCCAATTTACAAATGAAGTCCAAACGTTGCTGGCAATCCAAACGAGTGCTTTACTCGCTACATAAAACAACCAACTCAACACGCTTCCAATAATCCCAGGCAAAGCGCCTAAAGCAGATAAGCCGAATTTTCGAAGCACATTCGCTAAATTTTGTAATTTTCTTTTGATCCAGTCTGTAATGCCCCCTTTAGATGCTGGTCCAGGTTTTGGAGCTGGGGGTTCAGGTTCAACATTAGGTGATGTAGTACCAGCAGCTCTGGCAGCAGCCACGACGCTTAACACAATCGTACTGATGGCTAAACTAATAGCAGTCAAGATGCTCGCAATTGTGAAGCCTTTTTCTCTGAAAAGCACCCGGACTTTTTGGCGTAAAGTCAAATTGCCATCCATTACTGCGTTAATCGTTTCTTTGATGCGATTGATTGGAGTTCTAATCTGGTCGGTCTTTCTATTAATAATTTCACATTTTATCCCGTCTTTCCACTTTTAAATCGTCCAACTGTTCTTGATTTCCGCACGCTCTCCTTCTGATTGCGCTTCCTCTAATTCAATTTGGACTTGTTGAATATTTTCTTCCAACACGTCCAACTTGCCCTGTTTTGATACAAACTCTCCGTTTACCGTCTGTAACGATTGTCCAATGCGACGAGTTCTCTATAGTTTAACCCTTGAGTTTGCGCTTCTCCATCGCGAGTAAGGTCTTTTACTATGTCACTTAGCCTACTCGATGTGATATTCGAGGGAGTTCTCTCAATGGAATGCTGTCGGGATTAAATTGTGAAAGTTTATGAAACACTTCTTGTTATTCTTGTTTTGTTTTACCGGTAACAATTTCTAAAACCTAAAACGCGTCTTATAAAATCTGTATTTGTTTTACTTTTTATGGTGTTTAAACTAATCAATCTACTATTGTCGTGTTCTCGGGTCAATAAAACCTTTTTACCTTCAAACTTTACATGTAGACGGTCTTTACTGCCGAGATTAAACGCGTTGGGGTCTCTAACTATTGGCTCGTACCCCGTTAAGTTTTGCATCGCGTCATAAAAGTCATTCATTTTATCTTCAACTAACTCGGCCCTTAAATGTTACATGTCTAGTCCTTGGACCTCTACAAACGTCGTTTCTTGTTGCATTGTATCAGTGCTATTGTCCCATTCCAGATTTTGATCATCTTCAAATGCTAAATCGTTTTGATCTTCTTCTCCCCCTTCATCCAACAGAGATATCTCTTCCGAGTCAAATCCACCTTCTGCCATTTTCTTTTATAATAAACAGGTTTTTTACCTGTCGGACAAACTGGCTGGCAATATACTGGTACCTTTCGCCACGAGCCAACCTTGGTCATTAGCGCGCCACTAGCTATGGCAGTCATTTTAGCTGCGTCTTCCACGCTGAGTTTATCCAAATCGGTTGGTTCAATTTTAGTAGCTTTTTACCCAGCATGGCGTAACTCATGGAAATGATACTGACTACAGCACCGTGATACGCAATTACGTTTACTTTAATGTTTGTGTTACTCATTGTCTTATTATATAGTGATTTTTGAATTACTTCATGTCTAAAATTTCTTCCGTGTTGGCTGTTGATTTAATGGATGCAGTCTTGGAAGAAAGCTGTTGTTCGAAAGGCCGGCGATTGGTTTACCGTAGGTTTTGTTGTTTTTCGAACAAAACGAGAGCCAACGCGCCAATTAATAGTCTGCCTAAATCAAATTTCTATTATGCATGCAGTTGGTATAGATCTTACTTTCTGTGCTAGTTTCGGTTTCTGCCTCGGAATTATCGTTTATTTTTAACCTAGCTAATTGCTGTTTCGTTCGCTTGTTATGTTCTGCTAAACGTTTGCCCGGTTCTATCCGTTTAGGATTTTTACTCTTGGTTACTGCCTGAAGTTGAGTCTTGACTGGGCTCTTGACTGGACTCGATGGTGGGGCTGGTAGTTGTTGTTTCTCTTCTGTCGACATCTTCTTTTACAATAGACGCATTTTTATTGATGGCTAAATGTTTTGTTGTAATTAATGTTGCTACCAAAGGCGACAGGTAAGCGCCGTACTTGTAGCAAATTACACTGAGATTATGTTCCATACTTTGACTAACGCTTTGGTTAAATCATCTTCTAGTTTTAAATCAACGATGTAACCCAAAATACCGATAGGCGTAGCTATGCCTAAAAGTCGCACATACAGACTTAGAATCGAATTGCCCAATGTTTTAGCAATTTCCTGTCCGAATCAAAGTTCGTAAAGGTTAAATAATTTCTCTTGTTCAGCTTGTAAGCGCCTCTATGTCTTTGACGGTGTACTCTTATCCCAGGTACTTTTTGGACTCGCCCGAGGCCACTACAGAGCAAAACCTATCCTTGACGTTGGGTTTGGGTTCAGAAACTTAAGTAGATTCTGGTTTTGCGCTCAATATTGATTTGATGTCTTCCATTTTATTATACGGTTTTTAATTTTGTTAAACGCTAATTTGACGCTTCGGTACTCGTACGTGTAAAAGGTCAGGTTTATTGCAGTAACAATCTCTACAACTACTTGAACGTATTGCAGCTTTGATGTTTATTTGTTGATTTTATTTATAGCTAAATTTTGTTGAGCAACTATCTTAATAACAAGCTGTAATTAGTTTACAACAACGACCAGCTAACTGGTGGTTCTGTCATAAGAACCAACTTACTAAACTTTACGTCATTTAGATGATGTTTTAATCGATCCTGCTCTAGGTCTGGTACCACATTCTTTTCTTCAAGCGCTTGGTCAAAGCTAACGTCAAAGCTCGTGTCCGCTGCGCCAAATCTCAATTTAGCCACATTTTCCCTTTCTATTCCAAAGTAAGCCATGGTTTTAGTTTGCGTCGAGGGCAACCAATTGTATTTAAAATTGTGAAAGACGTATGCGTCTCAATAACTCACAATTTTGTTGCCTTGTAAACTAACGTCGAGTTCTGTAATTAGATTACCCGCGACGTTGTTGTATACGGTTCTATCCTCGTCTGAACCGCTGTCTTGTTCCAATTTGAAAGCTAACTTGGCGGTACCTGGCACAACGACGTCGTTCCCCCCCCCAACTTCGCGTCTTTCGCCTTTAATAGCTCGAGGCACTTTGAGCCGGCGGTTTTGATTTAATTTCTTTGTGTATTGTTGGCTTGCCATTGTCTTGTCTTTTTAGTATAGAATGTTTTATAATTTAATGGTTTTATAACTTATAAAGTTTATTTCAAAATCCCAAATATGAAAGATAAAACAATCAACGACACACCTGTCGCCAAAAACATGCATTCGCGTTTAGTCAACTGAATTTTCTTACAAAAAGTTTCGGCTTGCATTTCTGCCAGCTTGTCACCAATGTGGTCTGTATCGGCTCGCATATCACCAAGCATGACCTCAATATTTACATAGTAGGTTTGCAATTCTGCCAACTAGTCTTTGATTTGTAAAAGTTCTTGCCCCATTAACGTATGAAACAAGAACGCGTGAGTCAGCTGGAATTCGTCTATGTAGACGAAGCGTTACGCGTTTATTCAGAACTAACGGGAAAATGTATTGCCGTTGCCGCCAGAGCCCAAGTTGTCCGATTTTTACGATCTGCAGAAGATCAGAAAGTTAGAGAATAGGAGATCCCAATACGACGCTTTTAGCGTCGATCTGCGCACCTCCGCGTTTGAAAACGAGGCTGTATGTGTCAGCTTCAATTCTTGATACGATCAGACGATTGAAAGTAAGGAGTTAAGTCACGTGAAATCACAAGAAAAAACAATGGCAATTTACCGCGAACTAACGTACCTGCGATGGCCGTGTATCTTGTGCAGTGGGCGTGGTTTAAACTGAAGTGGTATCACACTTACGAACCGGGGACTGCATGTAATTTGTCGACTCAGCGGGCGGGTGTGACGAAGTTTAACACAGAAAGCCTCGGTTTCGATGCAGATATGCGTAGACGGCGCTAATGTGAAATCCATCTATTGGTTTGGATTGTCGGAGGAACGGCGTTGGTCGGGTTTATTGGTCTACCGGTATGGTTAACTTTATTTAAACGGAGAAAGAATTTTCAAAACTGTTTTATAGTCCACAATGCTATCGGAAAGGAAAAAGCGCCGTAGATCATTTACATCAAAAGACTGACGCAGACAAAAGCGCAGTGAGAGGGTGGTTGAAAAAACAGGTCGTCTGGCAAATTTATTTACCCGCTCGCGGTTATATACCCAGGCCAACTACTTTACCAGAATCAGTCGAACCCAACGATGCACATCAGATGGATGTATTATATTTACCGTGGGACCGAGTTAAAAGAAAAACGTACAAGTACGCTTTGACCGTAGTGGACGTAGCTTCTAGATACGAGTAAAACCGCAAATCAAGTTACAGAAGCCATAAAACGGAGTTATGACAGGTCTCCATTGACTTGGCCTAAAGACTCGGGGTCGGAATTTAAAGGCGAGTTTTAAAAAGTCTTGTTCAAAAACAAAATTGAAATTCAAGTGGGTGAACCCGGTGTTCATCGGTCGCAGGGAATAGTTGAACAAAGTAATAACTTTGGCCGAGCGTTTGTTTTGTCATCAGTATGCACAATAAATGTTAAACGTCGACGTGCGAAACGTGGAACGAGTCAGTGATGCTAGACGGACCCAAACGTTCTTTCGTTAGAGAAGAACTTCAAGTGGTGCCAGAAAATACCGAGTTGCCGCCTTCTTCCGATATTTGGTTATGACCAAATGCCAGCGTATATATCCCATTGGTTAAAATGTATCGTTTTGTGTCGAGTGAATGCAACGATAAATTTTTTTGAACGATCGTATAAAGCTGATGTCAATATGACCGTATGAGACACTGATCGTTTATGAACTGCGTTTCGTTTAACAAACAGTCTTTGTAAGACTCGTGACATAGGTCGTAATCGGTGACGAGCTTTGTAACACCTTAGGCTTTTGAGTTCAGTGTCATTGGCGAGTTTGATTGAATACATCTTGGGTCTGATACAAACGGCTTCTGAAATGATTGCCCCGCCAAATTCGGCTTTAAATTTCCCATTGACTTTTTTGTTGGTAGGGTCGTACAAGTGGTGGTCTTAGGGATAGTTACTCAGATCAAACTGATCTTTAATTTGCAAAAGGTCTTTCTAAACGTTGTCAGTTTGGATCTCTATTAGTAAACTGTCTGTGTCAGTGTAAAATAAGCCTATTTGGTCGTTGTAACGGCTTTTCGTGAGCATCGTTGATAACTCTAGTGTAGCAACCCCGCATTAATTGGTTTGTCTAGCTTTACTCTGGTCTTGTACATTTTGATATAAGTCATGTCGCATTCTTTAAAAGTAATCGTTCTTTTAAAACTGGGTTTACTGGATATGCGTTTAAATTTTTTCAACAATTTTTCGTTCTTGTTGGGATGTTTCTGAGCAAATGCAGAATTACGAGCAGAGGTACTAACCCTGGGACCTGAATAGCCTACCCGGAAACTGCACAAAAACTTTCTTGCAAGATGTGGGAGGTCCTGAGTATTAGGGTAAGCCCGCAAAAAAGGGAGCATACTATTTAGTTTTCCGGAGTTGCTGCCAGCTGCCGGCACCAGTGCTGTGACGCAAGACTGTGAGTTTCCCCGACAACGGGTTGCGGGGTGGCCAAATGCCCTGCAGGTGGAGCAGCGATGCGCGAAGCGACACATGGGGCGATTGCACTGACCTCGGTTGAAGTCGTTACATGTAGGTTGACCAACCCCGGCGACTGGGCGCCGACCAGGCCCGGAATCGGTTCAGGAGTTAGCGGAAGTGGAGGGGTACGCTCACTTTGCTGGAACGGACGAGAATTATGCTGGTGCGAAACGGGCACACCAAGCAGCATCAGCCAAAGTTCGGCATCAATAGTTGCCCAAGAGCGCGACGGCACACGCGCCTGGCGCAATCGAAACTGGATGTCGTACTCGCGCAAACCATACCCCACATGTCGAAATGCCGCAGAATGAATAGTGTCTGCTTACTTCAATAACGAACGAGCGTGGGTAGGATGTTGCAACAAATACACAAATGCAAAAACTAGAAACGCCGACGTCCACTGCTCGATAGACGTGATACGCGGAGCCTTCTTATGGGGACAAATCTGCCAAAGTGGGGACTCATTGGACCCGGTTGTAAAAAGCGTCTCTTCCCGTGCGACGACTTCAACAAGGTTCCGAATTCTACGTACTCCCCCTCCAAATTTTGTCTTTTAGATGTTGAGGAATCACGGAGAGCTAGGAGACCAAAAGAGGGTCATTGTTTAATACGACAGTTTTGTGTAGATCAAGGATTTATCAACCAGAAGGATGTATTTCCTTCTTTTGTAAAAATTGTAGCATTTTAATTTAAACGTCAAATAGGAAGCCAATGAAGTAGTTGTAAACAAACATGAGCGTCTTCAGGTGGATAGGTGTGTGCCTTTGTGACCCCAGAAGTGAAATGTGACAGACACAACATAGTTTTTAAATTGTTTATTACGCTTGCGTGTTCACGCACGCGTGCGATGTTGTTTGACAAGGAGGAACCCGAATAATTAAAACTACTCATCGCAGCTAGGAGGATATATTGGGAAGGAAACAACAGGCTACCTAACATCAAGATTAGGAGAATATAATATAATTATTATAATTTATATAGTATAAAATAGAAGATTGATTATAAAGGTTGGAAGAGTATTTGTTAAAAGTAAAAATCAGGAGACTAACTATCGCATCTAGGACAATCTTGAAAAAGAAAATCGGAGGTTGACAATCATGGCTAGGAGGATATATTTAGAAGGGAAAACGGGAGACTAACCATCAAGGCTGGGAAGATACTTTTAAAAGGAAAAGGGGAGACTAGTGAGGAGGATATTTTTAGAAGGAAAATCGGGAAACTAACCGGGTGATTGGTAGGGTGGGGGGTTTGTTTTCCATACAGCATCAATTCCAGTCAGCATTGCATTTTAGGGCGCCTTAAAAAAGTTGGGACAGCGTGCACCTGCCCCAACTGGGTAACAAACTTTCAGCAAAACCGTAGCAGCTGTCCTAATGATTTGCAGGAATAAGCCTTGGGCCTTCTTTCACCTGTCTATAACTATCCTGTGTCCCATTTATCCACAGTTCTGCTGGTTGATAGCAAGTAAAGCAATAGGGAGGGGCCGCTTCACTTCAACAGGAAGGAACCATTTTGACAATTCCCACTTTCGGAACTTGTTTGGCATAAAAGTGTTTTATTGGCGGTCCAGAAGCCCTGAACGCTGCGAGACTACGCCCCCCCACACACACCCACACCACATCAGAGGGGCGTGGCTTGTATGAAAAAGGGACAAGTGTCACTGTCAAGGACTGCTATGTTAGAGATCAGCTGAACGGAAAGGAGGGTGGGCTTATCTCTATTTCTACCGTTTATAATGTCCTATCGGACGGGATACAATCGACATGATACAATTCACCACATGATTCCTGTTACTGTTAGGCTAAGTGATCGTCAACATGCCTCCTGTAAATTACTTCTCAGCTGTTAGAGGTTAAGGTATTTCTTGCCAGTTTAAAAACTATGATTGAGCAGCTATCTGGCCTTTCTTGTCAGTTAACCACATATGAGCAAGTTCTTGTTTACTATGTACTTGATTGTACATTATAGCATGCAAATGCTCAGGAGTCGCTAAAACCATTAAACGTTTTAACTTATCTTCGGGCACTGATTCACTTTAGCTGGTAATTTTTCTTTTAGGTACTTGTTTCATTGCCATTGTATAAAGTTGTGACACGCGAAAAATGAATTTCTTATAAGTACCTAACAGGTATACAATTAAGCTCCTAAGCGCTTTTCCATTATTATTACCCCTGCTCACTGGGCCAATTAAACATTCCAAATACCATCTCACCTCCCTCGGTTCGATGCTGCTATTTCGGCGCAAAGCAGCAAAATCAATCACAATAACCATCTCTGCCCTCACAGAGTACCCAATTACTCCTGGATGGAGAGAGGCAATGAGTGACAAAGTGCGTTGCCCAAGGGCGCACGCACCATGACCCCAGGACTGGATTCGAACCCGCAACCTGCAGCTTTACCCGCCGACTACGAATCTGATGCTCTTTTAAACACTACACCACGGCACTCCACAGAAACCAGACATTTTATTTTTATATTATACACCAGAAATTATACTTTCATTTTCCGTAAATTCAAATGACATGAAATTACAGTGCTAGAGAATTAGCATTTCAAATTAGCTGTGACACAGCTGAGGGAGCCTCAATCTCCATCGGACGCAAACGAAAATGTACACATTTCTAAAGAACGGTTCCTCGGCATTGAAATACCATTTAAAGCGCAAATAACAGAATACAGATGTGAAACAGAGATAAAACAATACATGCTTCATTATAAATTTTCTAATTCTATTTACTTTTTAAAAATCCTGTAAACTTCAATTGATTAATAGGGCTATTCTTTCGAAATCTTATCCTTGTTTTTTGTTCAACAGCAAAAACTAGGGGTTCATTTCGTACCGTACTTCAAGTGATGTAGTTCACTTTTAAAAAAAAAATTCCATATTGGCCAAATGCAAGTCAAAAAAGCCAAATAAGGTGCAAATACTCTTAGCAGTCTAGCAGTAATAATACTGTCAAAGGTGTCCCAGCACAAGATCACGCGACGCTTCAGTAGTTGCACTTGTGTGTCCAGTGTCTGTAGACTGTGTATGTTGGCCGTTTTCTTTGTAACCGAGATTGCTCGTGCACTCAAAGAACTAGGCCTAATAAAGAATGCTCACTTCTTTAGTACATCGCACATTTTACTGTTGATTCATTAATTTTTTGTTTGATTAGGGTTACTTTCTTGTACTTTCGATTCGACGAGAAGCATTAAAGTGTCCGTGAAAAAGGGGTTTTATTTTCTGTAATTGAAAATTTTACGTTTTAAAACAATATCCAGGATGTAAAAGTTATGTTTGATTAATAAATGGGAGAATTTTTTTTGAGAAATGGCCCCACCCCTGAAAAGTATTTATTAATTGAAGATTCAATTGAAATGAACAGCTTTATCAAATCAACATGAAAATTGTAGATGAACCAGGTTAATCAATTCCTATTAATGCTACTTTCCGGATTGAAATCATTGATTGGGTTGAGTCTATAGTTTTATCTTCACATGGCAAACCACACTTACTCTCAAAGTTTCTTCGTCGGTAAACTCAATAGAAGATGAGGTGTAGATGACGTTTTGAAAAAAAATAAACTGAAGCCAAAATCAAATATATGTCTAGTTCCACACTTGCCAAATTGCCATTTAATCTCAGATCGGCATCAGTATTAGAAACAGAGATACCTTGATCAGATTTGTTTCAAGCTTCAGGATAAATTTATATTACTGAATTTTGAAAAAGACGCTATCTCCAATATAGGAATAAAGATGTAGCCATTTTTGAAGCAGGAGATAACGACGCTGTGAAATAGGGATGTTGTTATTATATTAAAGATATTCAGATACTTTTTATACGCCATGACGTTGGAGAGTAACGTTTGAAATCATAAATTTTCATAGCCATCTTGTCGCACTCCTTCAACGCTGTGCTTTATGCCATAAGTGAAGTACACGAGTAATCCTGAAAGGCAAAAAGCAGATTGTGAGAATTTTGTACATTTAACTTGTTACAGCTATTCAACCACTGAACCAAACCACCACACCTCCATAAAAAATATACTATTTAATTAAATTAATTTCCATTATATTGTACAGTATGGTTTTGCTTTTCCATGTTTGAAGCCGCTGCTGTTTTTTTGCTTGTACTTCGCAGGTGCGTTGTTGGACTGTTGTCATGGACCTTTTGAATGGGTCGTTTTAGGTAGTGATGGGAATTTTTTTACTTCATTGCAAGGGAAGGCTCTGACCCACAGAGTTTACTAGCATCTTAATTTTGTAGAACAGAACAGAATAAATCTGGTCTGATGTCAAAAGGTGGAAACATTACACTAAAATCATTAAAAAAACATGTCCAGACTTTGAAGAAAAATATTCATATTTCAGTAGTAGTTACTGTTCATTACAAACAGAGGGGACGCCTGAGGTGGATCTAAAAACTCACAGATTGGATTCATAAAATAAAAAGTTCGAAAGTTAATTGTGAGCCTGTCCTAATGATTTCAAGAACTGGGAACTTAATATTAAGACCGAATTCTGAAAGTTTGAAAAATACCAATTGGTATTACGTGTTCATTTAATATTTTACTCTGTAAGGAGAATAGCCACGTGGTACTTTACCTATGCATGTCCACACGAGGACTTGAATGAAGGCTAGAAAATCAAAGTGAAGCAAGAGAATAACGCAAGACAGCAAGCCAGTCAACGGTGCGAGTGGCATCAATGGCACCTGTCATCCCAAAATAATGTCGTTCTTTTAAAGTGCATGAAATGTTTAATTGTTTCGCTTTTTATCAAGAAAAGATGATTCATTTTTTTATAAGTCCTATTTTATCATCCAGCATCTGAATCCCAACACCATCGTGCATCTGTATTTGCTATGATGACTTAAGGCTTTACAGAAAGGTTGCATACTATATGGACAGGGTGCGGACAACGGGGACCATCCCCCCACAAAATAATATTGGTTTCAAATTAATGAGAAAAGGGGCAAGGGGGCTAATTCATCTCCTATCCTTAAAAAAGTTTTGAAAGCTCCAAATTTGCCTTCACTCTTAGAGGGCCGTTTAAATTACTTTGAGGTATTCCCAAACGTTTGGCTCCTGGACAAAATCCCCAACCCCCTTGCAAAACAGTAATGTTTGAATAATATTACCTTGAACAGGAGCTCTTCTTTATATTGCGGCAGAAGCCACAAAGGGGTACACGCAATGAAAGACAGGGAACCACTGATGACTATTCCAAGTACTAACAAATGGTCACTTGCTCCCAAGAGGTCCTCCAGGTTGAAGGTTAGTAATCCCACGAAGAGGAACTCAAAGGTGACGTGCAAGCAAAGACACAGGATCACGGATCTAGTTTGATGTTTTCTGATCCACTGAGGAAGGCTGGTTGAGGCCTTGTTGATCAAAGATGGACGCATTGAGCGCTCCCTTCCAGCGTCGATGGTGTCAGCATGGCTTTCCTGCTTTGGCCCCCGCAAACTCTTAACGTCTTCGAAGCTCTGGCGTTGATTTATTTGTGGTGGAGACAGACCTTCCTTGAAACAACCAAGTTTATCAATGCCACCTACTTCCATGTAACCACTTTGCGTAGTGGGTGTGTAACGCAGAATAATTACCGCAAACACAATACCGGCCGTCTCCAGCGTAAATAGCATTGACGGCACTTGAATTAAAAACTTGATATCAACAAACACACCAAAAACGATTGAAAGACACGCTCCCAACACAGTAGCCAATATGGGCGTCTTGGTCTTCTCGTGGGTCTTGGACAACATCGCGGGCAAAAGGCCGTCTCTTGACATCGGATAAATGAAGCGGGTCAAACTGTAAGATATGTTTAGAGTCCCACCCGTTATGCTGCATAGTGCGCCAATGGCTATAATGTACTTCATCCAACGCAACCCATCAACTTCATCAAACACCGCCTCAAAAGGAGATTTGAGATCGATGTTGCTGTATTCCGTTAATACAGTGATTGAGAGGGATCCAGCCATATATATCAGCATGCTGATACCAAATGCTGCCAACAACCCTACCAAGAGATCCTTCGATTGATCTCGCGCTTCCTCGGCACTCAGTGCGATAGCTTCGAACCCAGCGTATCCTATGTAAGCATTGATTATACTTGTTAAAACCTCATCAAGTCCAACCCCTTCAGGAGCAAAACCATTCTGTACAAGATAAGAGAAATCGGCGTGAATCATTGCCAAAACGAAAACTAAAATAAGAGTTGATAAAGTCGACAGCACAAACACCTTGTTAACCTTGGAGAATACATTCGTGCCGATTGAAATGACAGCACTAGATGCGAAAATCACCAATCCAGCGACAAAATCGGGATAGCTACCAAGAAGAGGGGCGTTCCATTCCTCACCTCCAAGAACAAATTTGACGGTAGCATTTTGTATGTAGCCACCTGTAGCCTTGTCTAAATAGGCACTCCAGACTTGCGCTGTTACAGCAACACCCAGAATTCGCCCTGCTACACCACTCCAACCAATCAAGAAAGCGACCATTTCTCCGAGTGTCGCGTACACGAACGAGTACGACGCGCCTGTTTGAGGAATCTGCAAGGCGCACTCTGTGCAGCACAGCCCAGCTAACAAAGCAATAAGTCCTGAGATGAAGAAAGTCAGAAGAGAAATCGGTCCTGCCACCACTCCCGCAATCTGTCCAGGCAGAAAAAAAACGCCGGAACCGACCATAGTTCCAACACCGATCATCGTTAAGTCAACTGCGCCAAGGCATCGATCTAGAGGTGTTGAACTCTTCGTCCATTGTACTGGTTTCCTGCGACACACTGAGTTGGAAATATCTCTAAACCACTGAAATAGACCCATCGTGAATATATCTCTTCGTTGACTTCAAAGGGTACGCCTGTTGTCACAGGAAAAGGAAAAAAATTCTGCCAATAATGGCAAAATATGGATGAGGTGATACCTTGTTGGCATGTCAAAGGAGCACATAGCTTGTCGCCATTTCAGAATTTGGCTGTAAATATTTATTCTACACAGGTACAGGAATAGCAACTCGGGATCCTGGGAAACAATAACAGACTCAATTAAAGGAAGGACCGATGCAACTTCCAAATTCCTTTAATTATTTCTAAAACCTCACATTTGATTCTCACATATTCCACACCAATTAATTATCAATTTGAATGATACTTTTGTTTACACTGCAAATCTCTTCAGCATAAAGTTATAATCTCTGAAACTTATCTATTGACTTAATCTAACACCGGTTTCTTATAGAAGTCTTCAGTAATATTTCAGTGATAAAACTTCAAATTAGTGTAAATACGACGATTTCAAGATTCTGAAGCCTATACGGTGTTTTATGCTTTTTCATTAATCTTTGTTTGGCATTTGATAGTTTGATCAAAAGAAATTATTTAGCATGAATAAGATGTTGAAATAACTCAAGGTAGCGAACGAATGCGGGAATGGAAAATCTAGACCATTGACCAGTGACATTTCGGGGTACATTTGGCATTTTGCAAAGGGGGTGGCTTATTTTCTGGAGAGGGAATGTTAGGATCTGACCCAACTTATTCTCATGCCTGAAATCAAACATTACTGACCAGTACAAGGCGTAAAACACAATTCGCTGCGAGGTGAAACAGGGAAACCTAGCCACAAATGAAATCCATATTTTGCACTGTCACTCATAATATTTGTGGGAACAGAGTATTACTTGATGAAATTCGTGCCTGGTAGAATTTTAGATTCACACGGTAAGCATCACTCATTTGCAAATAATATACTCAAACATTTCTGCCCCTCCAAGATCTTCATGGAATAATCTAGAAGACAGCAACAGGGTGATAATATCATCTCCATATCTAACGTTTTGACTATGCAAACTGTAAAAGAGCTATGGATGAAGAATTCACATTTTGTACTTTTTCACAAAATAATCACCCTGTAGAAAGTGTTTATAAATAGGATAGAACCACCATTAATACTTCTTGGAAAAAAGAGATAGTTGAAAAAAACAAAGACCCTAATAAGCCGCTGTCATACAGCTATAATTCTACATAATTCTACAGTTTAATGTTACGATTTTTACCTTGAAAATTTCCGTCAGTCGGACTGTTGATGTCGACACTTTAAATCTGACTATTGACAGCTATTTTCCTTTGTCTAATGCAACAGTTTTCCTCACGCAAGTATTTATCTGTTCTGCCCAACTCAACGACGTCGTTACATGCGTGCATTACGTGCATTCATAATCTCCAAATGCAAAGTAAATTCCCTGATTGATTCAGTTCTATTTTTGGCTCTTGCTCACCTATAACATAACTGTTATTTACTTCCCTTAGATTAAGGTCTGTCTCTGAAAACTAGTATTTGAATGATGTTCACTCATACTGAATTTTCAACACGTGTTCTTTATCCCACATTCAATGGGCAATAGGATAACGAGGTTAATTTGCATCCATTATCCACTCATAAAAGGATTCTACCGCTCGTGACAGGAGAAATAAACAATACCGCAGGCTTTTACCTCTCCTGGTAAAAATCCATAATTAAAGAGACAAGATTTTTATCCTCGCCCAATTTATACACAATTTTGTCATTTGTCGGGGGTTTCGAAAGGCATTATATATTACGCGTCACAATGGAAATGCACATATTCACCAAGACATCAACTGAATAACCTTCCCTTTTCATGCCAGATCGTTTGCAAACTTAATGCATCAAGGTAACAATCAAATACTTTGCTCAGAGTTCATTCATACGAATAAATGAAGTAGAACATTTTTAAAAGGGGGATAAGAAAATGCGAGAATTGCTAGACTTTAACATTAACATTTAACATTTTCATTAACTTCAAGTTCGCTTCTAGGAATAATATTGTAGTATGGACTGGTCGGGTCTCAAGATATAATTTTTTTCTCTGCACAATTTTCCCACAAAACACAGCTTAGATCAATGCATAGATCTTATCTTCACGAGTTTCTTTGTAAGCTTTGCGTTCAACTTTGAGGCGTCCTCCTTGGTATTTGAGCAATTCCATTTGGATTAGGGGTGTTTAGTCGGAAATCTGTGAAGCTAGCTTGTGCCGTACATGTACCAGTAGCATTTTCATGTATCTTCACAGATTATAATAAAACGGGCCCAACAGTGACTTAAAACAAAGCACAGTATGTGTAGAGACAATAAAAGTATCAGATTTCATCTGTGACCAGAAATTTAGCTTTTACTGATTCATATGAAATATGATAAGCTAAAATATACCACGACCAATGTATAGTGCAGCCAGGTTACCTAAATGTATCCAAAACATTTACTGAGTTGTCACATCGTTTAACTTATACATGTACAAGTATTCCTGGGATGCAACCGTAGCTTTAAAAAAGAAGCAATTCCAATCTTCATAAAGACCTTCTTACAGTGTTTTTCAACATTCATTGGCATGATTGTGAAGAGAGAAAAACAAGAAAATCAGTTGATCCGAGGAAATGTTCCATACCTGATAATCAAGAACACAAAATAACTGTCTAAAAGCTACAGAACAAGTAAAATCATCAATTACTTCATCAAGACATAAATACACACTAGAATTTCTTGAAAGGAAAAGAGAGTTGCTGAATTGCCACCGGTGCAAGTTACATGTAGTATCAAAAATCTATTTACAAGAAACAATTGAACAAACAGAAAATTGCATGTTTTAGCAAGATACTGGCACAAGGTTCGTTCAGATCATTATGAGGCATCTTTTGTGAAATAATTATTGTCAAGTAGGGTAGTATTCTAATCAGAGGTTGGGCCACACTTATAACATCTTTTCGTGCTCCAACATCATGTTCAAAATCATAATACAAGTACAGGTAGCTGTGAAATAGGCCTACTAAGTAAAAATCATCCTTTACAAACAAAAAGCAAGTGGAAATTGTGAATACGGCATCACACAGCTCTATGCGCTGGTTTATTCAATAAAAAAGTCAAAAATGGATCTGTGTATCGACTGAGTAAGAGTAAATTGGTGCATATTGTCGATCAAATTTGCATTATTATCAAGAAAATAATTTTAATGAGTCATTAAGGAGACATTCCCATAAGAACGTGCACAATTTTTTTCCAACTCTGCAGTCCCATAATTCACTATTGCCTAATCTGATCTGAACCATACTTTGTATGTTTTCATTTTAGGCCCTAAACTATCATCTCGTAAAATATGGACGATCAAATTCGGCCTCCTTCTAGTAGTTTGAAAATAGGGAGACACTGAAATGTCTCCCTAAAAGCCAATGTCTCCCTAATGCTAAAAAATTTATCACAAAGTGTCTCCCAAATGACCTATTTGTAAATATACTGTAAACTACTAAAGCAAAACACATGTAAATGAGTGCATGTAAATTATTCCATTCCTAGTACAAATTTAGATGGCCTTATAAGTGTATTCTACCGGGCAAGTACGTTTGTTGTGCCCACTGTTTCCAAACTTACTACAAGACCCAACATACACCTTTCGTCGTTTACATTTTGCATACAAATGCTCAATTCTGTTCATTTTTTGCATAACCTGTTTCATGGCATGTAGTCTTTTGTGATTTGATCCTCTGAAAAATGTTTTTGTAAGGGAGTCGTTTAGCTTTTCAAAAGTTTGCTGAGAAAATTTTGCTAGTGAATCGTGAAGTGATATTGCTTCCCCTACGTGTTGAGCCTCAATATGCATGTAAACG